TGTAGCCTGGATGGGAGGAAATGGCCTGGTAATAGAAGGTCAATACCAGTGGAATGACTCACCCTTGGCCATGAATTTCAGCAATTGGCTTCCAGGTGAACCTAGTGTGAGGTATCCCGTACAGGCAAACTCAAGGGACTGTATTGATTTATTCAAAAACGGCGAATGGAATGATAGACCGTGTTCTTTCCTAAACCCATTCATCTGTGAAATGACCTAGAAAAAAACTTTATAGATACACAGGTAACCGGCTTCTCTCTCAGCCATTGTTTTATAGTTTTCAATGTTTCATTTTGTTCTGTATAACGGAATTTAATGTTTTTTGATATTTTGATATTGTTTCAAGAATTTTTTTTTATGTGCAAGACTTTAATGAAAGCAACAATATCCCTCAAGTTTCATATCTAGAAAAACATTGTTTTCTACGGTCAGTGTACTTTGCTTATTTTGATTGTTGAATGATAAATACTAAAATTTTATGAATTTTCATATATTTGAATACAAATGGTTGTTAATTTTTTAATATAAATCTGGAAGAAAATGAGCTTGAGTAATGAAATATTTATTCTAAAACATTAATATAAGGAATAAACCTCTTCTTCGATTACATTCTGGATCAAATAAACTAAATGAATATCCTAGATCATACCTATTGATAGCCTTAAACCTTATTTGGAAATTGAGCTATTTGCTATTCTTTATTATTTGTGCAAAAACTCTTTTACTTCATGCTATTTTCTTTACATAGGTAAATAATTCCTTTTCCTTTTTGAAATTTAATTTTAGCATACGCTTTTTAGCGATATTTGCAATTTTGCAATGGTCATAATGTTAAGCTTTACTATAGTTAAGACTGTAGAAGAGTTCAGCCGCCCCACTTTATTGTGGTACAAATTCCGATAAGTTCTGTGTTCATTTTATGCAGTCATTTTATGAAGAAAGTGAATAAAAAATTGAGCTTTCTTCACTTAAAACGATAGTAAATGAGCTTAAACTTCAAAGAAATGAAGTTTTTATATCATTTCCAAACAACTCTTACTACAACATATCCTGAAATTTTAAGAACTGATTAAGATTTTTATTGACTATGAAATATTGAAAATTACATTGCTCTATAGCTTTGGTGTCCTGTGAAAGTAATTATTTTTTTAAGGTTAGTGTGCCTTACTAAATATCAAGAGATAATTTATTAAAAGACAGACACAATAATGTAAAGAATATTTATATAAATGGATGATAATGTTTTCCTTTGTTTCAAATGTGAAAGAAAATGAGTTTGTGATAAAAATTATCTATATACATCAAAAACTGGATATATCTCAACTCTATCTGATATCTAAATCAAAGAATTATCTTGAACCATACATAGTCTTGTCTGTTTTTTTTTTTTTTTTTTCGGGGGGGGGGGGGTCTTTTTTCGGGGGGGGGGGGTGCTTTTCCTTACGTTGTACGGTTCCTTGAGTTTAAAATTTTGTTTATAACAACTCTATTGATCCACCAAAGTCATCACTATAGAAAAACTCAGCCGTTCTTGTTGATTAAGTAACGATTTCCAATATGTCTTTTGCAAATTATTTTACAGTCATTTCATGATAAATGGGCGTTTCAACATCACTTTTAAAAGTTAATAAATGAACTTTTACTTCAAAAAAAATATTTGAACATTAAAGTTCTGCTATTTCAACTACAACTTTAAATTTTAAACCAAACTAATTTAACTGGATTTTTATAATTCTTTGGGGATTTTTATAGTTAAATTTCAGCCATTACAATCAAGAGCAACGAGAAGAAAATAATATTTTCAGAATGCTAAATCATGAAATTACAAAAAATTAAAATAATAAAGAAACAAACATATTTATTTTTATTAGTTAGATAATTAATTTAACATTATTAGATATATTTGACACTGCATGAAAAGTCGGGTTTACTTTTACCTTAAATGCAATTTAAATGCTGCGGTTATTTAATGTTTAACTGCATAGTATAACATACTGTGGGATCGTAAACGTTAGAAAATAATTAGCATTTAATACGAGTTTAATAGAAAATTAAAAGAACAAATTTAATAAAGTTTGGAAAATTGTAAATTTACTAATACATTCAGATTTAAGTCTTCCGTAAACAAATGTTATACCTTTAGTATGTAAAATGTATAATTATTGTTAAACATGCACATAAAATAAAGTTTTATGTTTATATTATATTGTGTGGTTAATAAAATTTAATGTAGACTTTTACCTCATTATTTGTTCTTGTTTAATTCACACTTTACTGAACAATACTTCCTTAAACTGAATTATATACGGGAAAACTTACCAAATATGTCCAATTTAACCCTTTCATAAACTAATATTATACCTCATGTATAAATATAATTATATACATGGATTAAACATTTATTATTGATTTATTAAAGATTTAGTTTAATATTTATTTTTATCTCATTATTCCGTGTAGAATATATATATATATATATATATATATATACATATATATATATATATATAAAATAATTAAATTGAAAACACAAAGACCACAGAGTAAAGCATTAGTCCTTTCAAAATCCTTTTAAAAATCTCCAGATGCTTTAAAAATTTTCTATGTATGCTTTACTGTGTTGTCTTCGTGTTTTCAATCTCATTATTTTCACTTTACTACTATACCGACCACTGTGAATTCATGGACTTCTGATATATATAATTTTTTTTCAATTATTTTACAATCACACACAAATCCATTTTTCATATAATTTTATTACATTATGTTAATGATATACAAACAAATAAATCTTAAAAAACTTAATAAGTCTATATAATATTTCAGAATTTATACCAAGGTACTAGTAATTGGAATTCAATGCCATTATTATTATTATAAATTCTTACATAGTGCTAAATATACTGTCAGAATTTAGAATTTTACAATACACAATTTAATGGAAATTAAGTTTTTAGACGCTGATAACAATAGGTCATAAAATAATTTTAATTACAACAATTTAGAAAATAGAATTGCATACAACATTCAAATCTATCAGCATTAAATCTGCACAAAAGGTAAAAACTGCAGTCTATTTGGACTTCAAAAAAAAATACAATATCCATGATAGAAACAGTCCTTATCAAAACTGTTTAATGGGTTGTAAATTTAAAATAAAAGTTTATTCATCTCATTATGTGTCTTTCATATACAGCATGAAATACAAGGCCTTTTTGAAAAAATTCTACATGTGCTATAGGCAAATTTCTCAAAAAATGAATGTGGATAACTTAAAGCACAGAGTCATTATACTTTTTAGCATGCAATTTGAAAAATATTGTTGAAAGTGATAATTTTGAAATCATTCACAAAATATTTTAAGATCTTTTTCCATGATAATTTCCTATTTTCCATCCTTAAAAAGTTTTGGACAGAAGAGAAAGTACATTATGACCACACAAATTAGTGAACATACTGGAATACAAGGGCATTCATTTATATAAATTAGCACAAACATTGCAAGACAAAGAGCCAATGATTCTACATGTATATCAAGATCTAGGGGAATGGTAACCTTATAACATTAAACATCTTTTATCGTTTCAATTTTAAGAATCTCAATAAGCACAAGCAGGTAGACAGGAATATGAATACTGTGAAACTACATATATCTCATTAAAACATTTTAGGCTAATTTGAAATTGAGACATAAAATTGACCTTTACACTCAAAGCATTTTCTTCTAGCTAGTCTATGCCTAATATATGTTCAGAAACAATATATCTGGAATATTCATGTACAAATAATGTCATGCATTAGTATATTCATGTACACATGATAAACGTTATTTAACTCTTTATTTTTATTAATAGTTAAGTTGCCTTTTCTTCTTATTACAATATATTTTATGCATAAATGTCTTCTTAGTCTAGTTCTGACAGAGAAGCCTCACTCGCCCACAAGCAACAGCAAAAGGATCGGTCAGAGACGCCACCTTTCTCTTACTTGGGTATCAAGATCTGCAACTTACTGCCAGCAAAACTCTTTCAGACTACCCTTGCATTGTCTCCTAATTATTGTCACAATAAATATCCATGCACTAATTATTCAAGTTAAACTTGTAAAAACATGGAAATAAGTCGGAGATTAAGAATGTTTGGCATGTGTGCTACACAATAAGCCAGTTGATCTGCAAACAATAAAAAATACGACAGCTTTTTAATCATTAACTGAGTACAGTAAACATTTTATGTTGACTGTGAAAAATACACCATCAAGAAAACTTCTTTTATATCATGGTTATGTGAATTCAAATTAAGGAAAAAGAATCACAATTACACAAAACAAGTAACAGCTGATAATTTATCTCTAATAGCCCATTTCTGTTCAATCGCTACATCATCAGGTTTATCGCTTGTGGATTGAAACATAGCATATCCTCATCAAATCAATTTTACATTGGAACGTAAGACATTTTGATCATGATATTTTCAGTAAATAATCTTCTAGTCTTTGCCGTAAAATTTCAAGAATAGGCTCTGAAACGTACATATAAAAAGGCCTGTATAAACATATGTACTTGTACATGTTACAAAATTTTTTAGCCTTACTCTTTAAACTTAATGCAAAAAATTCTGGTCTTAAACTCTTTACTTCAAATGAAAGGAAACAAATTAATTTCTTACTCTTGCAATATAATATACATTAAAATCACTATTTACCCTATTTACTCAGAAATCTCTTTATCTGGTCTGTTTAGTCTACTTTTTACATCTAAGACAAACTAAGCCACTGACAGAGAAGCCTCACTCGCCCACAAGCAACAGCAAAAGGATCGGTCTTAGACACCACCTTTCTCTTACTTGGGTATCAAGATCTGCAACTTATTGCCAGCAAAGCTCTTTCAGACTACCCTTGCATTGTCTCCTACTTCTTTTCACAATAATTGTCCATACACTAATTATTTAAGTTAAACCTGTACATAAATGTAATTTATAAATCAAGATTAAAAATGTATGTGCATGTGTACTATACAAAATAAGCGAATCGATCTTCAAACAATAAAAAATATGACCGAGTTTTAATCTGTAATCAAGCATCAGAAAACACTTTAACTGTCAAAAATACAACACTAGGTATATTTTTCTTATATAACATTTGAATGTGTCAATTCAAGTTAAGTAAAAAAAGCAACACAATTATGCAAAACAGTAGCAACTCAGATATTTGATCTCTAATAGCCCATTTCTGTTCAATCGCTACATCATCAGGTTTGTCTCTTTTGGATTCCTTATTTATCCTAATTCTTCTGATGCTCTGCCTTTTAGACAGCTTTGATTTGTGAGTGACACTTTTGGTGTCTAGTTCTTCGAATACTTTTTAACATTCATCAGAACGCCACTTTCTTTGGTACATCACCATTCTTTGCTTTAATAGAATCAGCTTTTCCAATCGGCGTTTCTTCGTCTTGTATGGATTGAAAGTATATGTGTATTGCACCTAAAATATGACATTGCAGCAAAAATTAGCAAAAGTTAAGAATGTCTGAAATCTTTAGTAAGATACATTATTTAATAAATGATTATTAAGATTCTTTTTCAAAACTTGAGATTACAATCACACATATATCAAATATCCAAGGTTGTAAAGTAAACCCACAGCTAGAGTAACATATACCCTTTATTGACTGTGAGCAAATTAACATTTGCATTATTTAATTCTAGACATTAACAATGAAAAAATATAATTATAAAAAATTTTGAGCTCTGTGTCCAAGTCTTTTTGAATTTTGCACTTTGTTGATCTCTTTCAGAAGTTAACAATTCTTTTCTTCCACTATCATCACATGAGCAATGTTTGAATTTTTGACTTGCAAATCAAATAAAAAATTACATGATTAAATTAAAGTATTTTTATATAAATGATACCATCATTCACCAGATGTATTAAATATTATACAATTATGGACTCTTTTGGTGTTGAATGTGGTTTGTTATTCACCACTCACCAGAAAAATATCAATATTGACCGAGACAAAGCCGAGGTCAATATTGATATTTTCTGGTGATTAAAAAACTACATGTATATTCAACACCATAAGAGTCCATAATTATTGTTTTGTTATATAGTCCAGATTTGAATAAATAAGATATTGAAGGCTGCATGACGACACCATTTTCATTTAAGAACTTCCGTCATTGAAAATAGAAAAAAAATGTTCAGATTACAATTTGTATCTTCCGTGTTTTCCTTTCCAAGTTACGCTATGTGGAATATGTCCATATAATCATGTGATAGGTTTAATGTATAACATTTTTCCTGCTCAGATACACAGCTGGCTGCGGCCGTTGCAACCATTGTTTACAATGTTGTTTGAGGTGTTGATTGTGATGTCACAATGCCGCTGCATGCGCACTGACCCTCCGGTAAATAAGGCCTCAAATCCGGCGATTATGTAGCGTTATGAACTGTTTGCGCTTGTATAGATTATGTAAGGACTTTAAATAGACTATATAATAATAAAGTATGTTTAACATACATTTAAATATTATTACATAAACTTTACATTTTTTATTCCAGATTAAAGATATGCTTCATACTGACCTCTAACAAATGCTCAGCAAGCTAGATAGATGCCTACGACGTACTGGCATATATGTTCAGTCATTTCTTTGTTTCCATCTGATGAAGGTCTGCAACACATGATCTCATCATATCAAATTACCTGAATTCCATTTAAAGAACAGTACTATAAATTTTATTCCACAGAAAATATTCTACATAATCCATAAACTTTTACCTTTAACATAATCATTCCAGCATTTGAAATTGAATGTGATCCAAAAATAAATTACCAAGTAATGGTATATGCATGTTCTAAATCAACATTTCTTATCCACTAGATGGCTACCTCTATCATAGCTTAATTGTTGGTAGATTGTTTATTTTCTCTTGTCTTTCAGTAAAAATTTAATAAATACTTCAAACCAACAAAGGATCCAAAGGCCACATCACTCACCTGAGCAACCATGGCCATAACTTTGACCAAAACAAAAAAAAAAGGGGGGGGGGGGGGGGTCAGGAGCACCTCATGGGGTCACATGTCTAGATCTTTATAACACTTGAAATGCCACACAAGTTGTGTGGTGTATCAAGTGTTTTTAAGATCTGACAATTGCAAGGAACAAGAATATATGATTTAGTGTAGCCCCACCCTACTTTCGGGTGATCAGCATGTCATAGAACAATTTTCATATGATATGTATTCATATCAATACACAATATTTAAGGTGCCAAGTAGAGTTTGGTCATCTGATATCCTGTTCAACTATGTCTGACACACATGTACAGATATTTAATCACATATCATGGAAAACAATAAGGTACGATGATTTGAACAAACTAAAAGCTACTTTAATTGAGGATGCTTCAACATAAGTTTCAATTTTTCTGGATAAATGGTTCAAGATTTTCTTTTAAATTGCCAATACATTTTCATTAAATTTGAATCATCTCCCCTTGAAAATGTTACTAGTTTTTTTTATGGTTAGATAGAAAGACAGATGGAAGACGACAAAATGTGATCAGGAAAACTCGCATAAGCTTTTAGCTCTTGTGAGCTTAAAAGTACATGTTATTAATTTTTTTCTTACTTCAACGTTTGGTTTCCACCATCAGATTTCAGTTTCCATTCAAGCTTTTGTGAATTGTCATGGGGATATCCATCATGCGCAGCAGTCTGAAAGTATACATTCACAGATTAACATATCAATTACAAATAAAACATCCTGATTATGCCTTTAAATGAAATCATTTGAAGCTAGACACAATGATAGTACATCATTTAGCTTTATCATAATACATGTTGCTTTATTATAATTGTAGCTTTAACAAAACAAGAAATCTGTGAGCCAATCATGAATGCTCAATAGTGATATAACCAACCCCCCCCCCCCCCCCCCCCCTTTTGATGTGAATACACAAGTCAGTTAAAAATAACTGTGCTATCATCATGATCATTTGACAAGAAGTTGACATAACATTTAAACAAAAATGAATCCCAGTAATGTATTCCAGAGTTAGTTACGATACTTGTATACAGTATACATTATTACAATGTATATGGGAATAACATATATACATATACACTAGACAAAATTGCTAACGCACCACTTATTATTCTTATTTGTGAGTTGATCATTTTCCTGATTGGTACTAGTATATATAAAATATGCCATCTTTTCCAAAACAGTTGAATTGACAAATGTCTTGGTGTCATGTCAAGACCCTTAATGGACCTTCTTGTTCGAAAACCAATGTCCCGACGTGCACTTCGCACAGTTTTTGCCAAGATATGAAGTTGGTGATTACCGAAGGTGGTCCGTGACGTTGCGACGGGAGCAGTCTCCCACTTGAAAATCAAATGATACACCCTGATTGACTAACATATTGCGTAGTAGTCATCCAGTGCCTTGGTTTTCTTACCAAATGCACCAAACTTCCGGTTGCCCCAATTTTGTGGAACAATCTTGAAGTTATTGTGTGGTGCTTACTTAAAGCCGTCGATATCTATTGTAAACATTTTTATGATCGTTAATTCATTTTCAACAATTTTTCACCAGAGAAATGCATAATCTTTGAAGTGTTTTAATTTTTCACAAATTTCGTCAAAGGAACACCCTGCAGATACCATACTGGCTGCCTTAGCAGGCTCTTCTAGAGTCAAACGCCGCATACGGTGTAACTTTTAACTGATTTTTTAATTAGTACAAACATAAAGAACACAACCACAAAGAAAAAAATTAGAAATTTATTCCACCAAAATGTATGGATATGATTTTAATTCTTTCAATGAGGTGGTTACGCTTCAGTAAACATTGCTGTTTTTATCAGCAAAAACATTTAAATGTCTCATTTTTTATTAAAGTAACATAATTATACATCAAAAACATCATAAACAAATTTTGAAAAGAAAATTGTTAATTTATTTAGGTGGTGCGTTAGCAATTTTGTCTAGTGTATTGCAATTACAGCAATTCTGCAAAACTCCTTCATAGCAAATTTCAAGGGACCAAAGAAAGATCTTCGCTATAATCTTAATTCATTATATGTTTAATATAGTGAATTCATAAGAAATCCTATACCGAAATTGTTATAAAACACTAACAGTCAGCTAACAGTACTTCAAACTATTGTATGTTATATAATCGATATCACCCTCGTTACAAAAATTGTCAATACAACCTTTTCACTTCCTTAGATGCACAATTAAAGAATTTAGTGTATAATATTTAGATTTGAACATTTAAATATTATCTAACCAATGCATTTGAAATGTCAGAAAATAATGAAACCTGCCATATATATTCATCCTTTAGCTTCATAATCATATCCATGCTACCAGATACATCTGTAACAAATTAAAAATAGAACCAATGAAATAAAGATTTTATTTCCAGAACAATTTTTTTTAATTGTGGCAAATATATATGATTTACACACATGGTGACTCACAAACATATGGAGTATTTATTGATGACTCGGGTGTCCACAACTCAAATTTATTGTCAACATGAACAATATCATTAAAGGATCCATTAAATTTCTGAGTTAACAATGCTAATGTAGTGTCATCTGCATCTTCATCGAACTCCTCATCATGATCTTAAAATCTTACGTATATTTAATGAAATTTGTAATGAAAAATATTTGTTATACTTAAATGAAAAATCAAAAGCCTGAAAGGCTTCAATGACGTCGAAGAAGGAAAAACCATTTCAAAAGATCATTTTGAATTTGAAGGTAGCAATAAGTCAAGTGAGTGACTCAGGAGACATAATAAAAAAATAGTTTAAACAAAATATCACAATTACAGTCTGGGGCTTTATGTCATGGTCTGAATGGAGCAGGGTTCGAATTGACCAGACACCGTCGAACATGTTCATGCTAAATTCTTTTCAGTCAGTTGAAGAACTATGAAGGATTTCGTGAATTTATATAATATTTTTTTCTAATTGCCAATGTCAAAGCATTGTATAAGTGATTGCATCTAAACTACAACCAAGCCTCTAGTCTGTTAAAATTACGATCGAGTTACGATCGGGCGTGGTATACGGTATACTGGGAAATGGAGGAAATGGAGAAATACAGCAATACTGGTCAATATCATCGGTTTTTAGGATAGAGTTGGTTAGAAGATTGTATAAGTAAAGCTAAGATTTAGAAATTCAATCTTTTTAGTCTTGAAGTATTCGTGTTTATGTAATTTTGTGATTATTTTACCTCCTGTTGTGTTGTTTTACGGTTATCGTTCCGAAATGTTATTCATGTCATTCAGCGCACCCTTTCTATAGAAATTCATCCGCAACAACCATCACGTTTTTCTTGTGTGGAATAAAATATAATATTGTTGTTTTGCAATAGAATTAATTGCAGATATAATTGATGCAATTTTATTATCAAGCTATTATTCATTTTGAGCATTTTCAAAGAAATTGGTTTATACCTATTGCTATTTTCTATTGCGGATGCATCGACAGACACATTCGGTCGCGTACATATCCGGCCGTGATTTCAACTGGGCGCTTGCTAGATGACGTTCGAGCTCCAAGAGCCCGACGTCATAAAAATGCATTAAAATATCTTAAAATTACTTCGTTATAGCCATAAATTTGTTATATATAGCCATATTCGTTACATACAGCGATTTTCTATAGGTTTATATAAGGACTTTGCTGGACATGAATAAAAGTTCGCTATCTGTATCTATGTTTGTTAAATTTCAGTTTTGCTGTATATAGGAATTAGAATTTCAAGCATCTGCAATTAGCAGTTGCTGAGAACTGTGACGGAAATTCGTTATGGACAAAAACATGCATGCACAGACAGACAGACAAAAACGGTATTATACTGCTCTCTCATTCTGAAGGGACCTAGCCGGGGTATAATTATTCGGCCTATAGAAAATGTTTTGTTTGGTAATGAATTCTAGCATTCTTTTAATTTCAGCTATAGAAATAATGAAATAAAACTTTTGCACATTAATTCTATTTGAGTAATACAGTACATTTGTGTATCTCTATAAAACCCCCTTACTCCTTCACTTTCGGGAAACTGTGAGCTGTTAGTAAACAAATGCGATTGTGATGTCATTTTCTACATGCAGAAAAACTGCAAAAAATCAAATGCCGAGAAATTAGTACAGTCAAGTTCAAGAATGCGATAAAAAAATATTAAATAACAATTACACTTGATCTATTGTATCTATCATATTTTATGTGAAATCAGCGAATACTTTTTCCTTTATCAGTGAGTGTTTATGCACTATTCCATGCGCTATTCCTCCGACATGTGTGTTAATAGCGAGCGCAGCGAGGCGGCGCGAAACGCCGCTCACGTAGCGAGCTCCATAGACAACGTGTACGAACGGAGGAAATTCGGGTTGAAATCTGCACATTGTTCAAAGAAATATTTATCATCCCATGTGAAAATATTCCATATTCCCAATAATCCTTTGCGGTGCATAGAAACATGGTGGCAATAGCATAGCAACAACTTACTTGATAAAATTAATAAATAACGAATTAATTCAATTTCCATGTGCCGTAATTACCCACAAAACTATCGCTTGCATCCCTGGTAAACACGACTTTGTATGTGACGTCATATTTTTGTCACTTCAACGACTCGGGCATTTCCAATTTTGTCGGAAATATCCGAGAAGTTAGGAATTTCGATCCCAATGCATTGGGAGTCTGCAACGTTAGAGAATATGTACGTCAATAACGGTTTACAAAAAAAATTATGTACGATACTCTGTAAACGCGCAATAAAAGTGTAATAAGCAATGTAAAACGACATTTGAGATGTGTTGAGTTTTAGAAAATGAACTGCGCTCGCCCTAACGGTTTCACCGTCGGACATATTATGCTCATTTTTACATCTATACTTATAAATTAATAAATTTTGCAAATAAACTCCGAAACGGGTGCACCAGAGTTCTTACTTACTCCTCTAACAATACACTAGCTACAAGCTGATGTCCGTAAACTATATTTAGATTTCACTCGCATAGTAAGTATCGTACATTATATTAAAAGTCTACTTTCATTTTCTATAAACAGCCATGAAATAGCTAAAACGTGAGTAAGGTGGCGTTTCCGGTTGGCGGATCTAAGTTACTGGCAATTTTTAATGAAACTGACAACAAGCAATCGTTTATTTATTACAGAAAACGTCATCACTGAATTATTCAATCAAAACTCGATTTAAATTATATAAAAGAAATAAGTTGTGATAACCGATTAAAAAGGGAAATGTGCAAAATATTTTCGTCATTCACCAATCTTTATATTGACGGAAGCTTCTAGAACATCATATAGCATCGAGCCCAATGTTAAGAAAAAAACGAGGCGCTTATAGCTACATGACCATAAAAAAAGCTTTTGTGTAAATGGTCATAATTGAAATAATGGTAAATCACTGATAACACTATAAGTTGTGAATATGATTATATGTCGAAAGACTATTACATATACATGTATGTAGTAGGTTTTCCTAATAAATCTATCGGTAAAATTTGTATATATTCCTTACTGAGAGCATCGTGGCAACGAACCCGAAGTACAATTTGTTCTTCGTAATAAACTTGCTTACATGAAAAGAGAAAATTCAGGCCAGTAGGAAGCAATAGTAATTTATATATCGGAAAAATTATTGCCCCCCCCCCCCACGTGCCCCCCGGTTCCTACGGCCATGATTAATTAATGAAAAAGGTATTGTTCAAATACAATTAAAGATGTAATATTTTCCGCTTTAATCAATGCACAGTTAATTTCTGAATACAATCTTTTATAGCTGCAATAATGTAGCCCTCTCCTTTTTTGAAAGGGGGGAGCAGAGAGAGAGAGAGGCCAGAAAATATCAGATCAAAAAAAAAAAAAAAAAAAAAAAAAAAAAAAAAAATCGGAGAGAGCTACATTATTGCAGCTTACTCTTTTGTATCAAATACTCAGCCTATTCATAGGGCGTTAAAAGCTGATTTTTACACAGGTACTTGGGTCTTGGTTTATAAATATGTATGTACCTATTATTGATAGGTAATAAAGTAAAATACATTTTTACATATCAATAAGGTACAAACATATTTATAAACCAAGACCCAAGTACCTGTGAATTTTTACCCCCCCCCCCATCAATTTATTAGTAAAATGTGCATATTCGTCGCTTTTATCCTTGACGGAAATGAAATAAGAGCATCTGAAGTACAATATCCATAACATAGTATAACAGGTTTCACAATAAACGTCAATTAATGAAATTGCTATTTTTCAAGTTAAAAAAAAAAATAATAAAACAAAACAAACACAACAAATGGGGGTTGGGGTGGATAGGTAAATCTACTTCCTGCGGGATTTGAACAAAGTATTTGTTCTTGCTATAAGCCTGTAGGCTGTCAGTAGAGAACTACAATATATTTTCTGTCGGTAGTGGTATAAATTCAATTCCCCGCGCTTGCGCGGGATTTCATCTAGTGTCAGTCATTTTTATGAAGGTTTTAGCCAAAGGATTATTATGACATACCATATTGAATAGTTATACGGCTAAAAATATTTTATTTTTTGTCTCAAATTGCCCCAATATGCTACGTTGGATATAACATAGTGTGACGTTCATACATATACGAGTCATCTATAGATATTGAAGGTCATCATGGTCATGTTGCACGTTTTTTACTGTTGATGTAGGCCTAGCTGCAGAACTGTAGCTCTCCGAAAAAATATATATTGACAGACCGGAGACTGGTCGTCCATCCCAATTGTTTCAGACCAGCGAGCTAGATTTTGCAGCTAGTGTTGATGTACATGTAAATAATGCCTTTTTCGCCATCTTTTTTTTCTTAAACAGTATGTTTACCTGCTTGACCTTGAGCATGTTGAGGTGCCCTTTTCTTCCCTTTCTCAAATGTCTTGCATTTTCCCCAATAATTTCATCGATGTATGAATCCGATGGTTCTGGTGAATCGAAACTATTCCATGAGCATGATAAGGATCCATCCTCCTCACTAATTTCCGATACTTGGCCTGTCCGACATGTTTGGTGCTGTTTGGCGGGCTCGGAATATTCGCGATGCTGCTGCCTGATTTTGATTGGCTAATTTATAATTATGTATAGCGTGCGCGTAGAGGGAAAAATCATTTTATATTAGATAGGGTGAATTCACCATGCATCGGACACCCTCGCACTTCAGCAAGTTCTAGCGATATCGCTACCGACCGAATATTATCAAAATGGAACTTAACATGTAGTATGTGGTTAAAATATAAATTTTTGACACAATCGTGTCCTATTTACTAAGAAAATATCATTAAAAACCGATTTTTTCGAAATAAGCCAGAATTCACCATGGATCGGACAATGTGCACCATGCATCGGACACACGATATTTAAACCAGAAAAATATTATACTTTGATCTCGGTGCTTTAAAATTAGTGAAATCGAAACATTTTTATCTTTTACTTAAAAATTAACCTTTTAATTAAATTTAAATGACTATTTCGATTCACAAATGTGAAGAGATTTTAGTTGCATCACATCGCCTTAGACAGGCTTTACAATGCTAGTAATATGGCAACTCGCGCCTTTGTCTCGTGGGTTATTATCATCTAGTTTAAAGAAATGAATTGAGACCACTTCTAGTCGTCATATATCGATAATTTGTATTTTCACTGAAAATTTAGAGTTTCTGTTTTCTATTTCCGTAAAAAACAGCTGTCATTTGGGTTTTACATGAAAATGGAAGTGATCACCCATGCATCGGAAAGTGTCCGATGCATGGTTAATTTGTGTCCGATGTACGGTGAAATAAACATACTAGTTAAAAACAACTCTAAAAAATATTATACAAACACTGAGGTAAATTTTTTGAAAAATTTCTGTAAAATTATCAATCATTGACAAATTTTACCGAGGTCCGACCCGTTCCGTTGAAGTCTATTTAAAAGAACGACAACTCTAAAAATTGCAAAATCGTAAAATTCTGGTTACTCCCCTTTGATGATGCAAAATATGACGTAATTTCAAGGCCATTCTTGTGGTATTTTTATCACAACATGGAAATAAAAATCGGCATCATTAAAAAGTTTAATTTTTCACCTTTAAGACAGAAACAAGTAAAAACACGGGGAGACTAAGGTTCAATGAAAGTTTACTGCTTAAAGTTGTCCGAAGCAAGGTATGTGTCCGATGCATGGTTAACTCACCCTAGGCCTATTTGATTTTTTTTATAATTATTTCTCAAACTTTAAAAGGAAAGAAAATTAAAAAAAAAAAAGATTTTGATTTAAATTTTTTGGAAGGGCAGATAACTCTATTATATATATAAAAAAAAAATGAGCCTGAGGTGTAAATGATCATGACATATTGATGATTTTTTTCCTAATATTTAATTAGATATGTAAAGTAAATTAGATTTAAGTCGTCTTTAAGAATTTTAAATATATGAGCATTTATAGATAAATACAATAGTAAATAACAATCTATGATTATCAAGAGTGTAGCACAGTCCAATTTTTACAAAATTCGATATTTGCAAATACAGCAGCGATCTCAGTATAAAGTAAAATCTCTTTCGAATTAAATCTCTCTCTCTCTCTCTCTCTCTCTCTCTCTCTCATGATATTCTTCTGAATCAAACGTTATATAAAAAAATTCAAATATCTTTATTCATTTGGTTCATAATAAAATTGTTAAAATTTCAGGGTGGGGCACCTGTTTTTAAAGTATGTTCTACCAATATTTTTGATGACAGTGGTCTATCGCCAGAATACTTGAATAATTAATAAGTCTTGCGTCATTCTCAAATTAATTTTTGTACGTTCAAAGATCTGATTGAATTAATATTTTATGCAATGCGTTAAGTAAAGGCTGAGAGAGAAAGAGAGAGAGAGAGAGAGAGAGATGATCCTTTGAAACTGGACAATTTTGGCTACCAAACGGGATCGAGTAGGTTTTAGAATAAACAGCATCAAAGTAAACAGAACAATTTGATCCAGTTTCATAATACTTTTTTTTTTTCGACAAATCTAGATCTAGTACTACCGTACTAATAATATACATTGTCAATATTAAATTATTTCAGAGTTAATAAAAAGCCAAACAAAAGCGATATATATAGGATGCTTTAATGTAAATGTTTTTGTCTTTTTGCGATAATAAATATGTAAACAATATTTATTCTGTATAAAATAAAAAAAAATATTGACACATTATTTATCACATCTATAAAATACCAAAAACATACTTAAACTTAAAGTATAAGCGGATTTACTTTTACATGTCGATTTTCTTAAACGAAACGTATAATTTCTTCTATTAAACTATATTATTCTCGATGTTTTTTGCATTAAATCTGATTATACTTATTTGAAAAATGTAGTAAATTATATCACAATATATTTTATATATAATGTAACGTTATACATAAATTAAATTCAAAACAAGAAATTTAATTAAGTAAACAAATTTATTAAATTATATTAAACGCAACTTTTCATGCAGTGTGAAATGAGAGGAATTTCACCAGATTCCTGACGAAGAACAGGAATAATACAAGATCACCGGAACCGGATGTTCAAGCAATGTCCTCGGGGTATTATTCAACTTTATGTTTCTTGCTCATAGGGTAAGATGCTGATCTTATTTTTTTTATCCATCATTCAAACACCCAAAAATGAAACATTCACAAGAAAATATACCACAACAAAGACACTAGTGACCCTACCCATGTCTGAAAGCAAATAAAAATAAACAGACAATTTTATAAACTGATTTTATTTGACAAGAATCTGTTACCGAAAAATCATTGAATTGAACAGATAGTTATAATGATGATTTTCTCTTTTAAATAGAGCTGAGAGATTGTTTTTCATTGTGGTGAATGCATGATACATCAATGTTTTCTTTTTAAATGCATGTAACTTGCATACAACATAGCAAACCTGGATGAATTTGTTAGCAATGGAAAACAGCCAATACATCTTCATGACAACAAATATATATGCATAGAAAATAATAGTAGAACTATTTACTGGAACTTTGAAATAAATTTTCCAGGACATTTGCAATATGAGAAATACAGATATTGATGTTATGAGGTTTAATTTCTAAAATGTCGATTCTATGCATAATAGCAAATAAAAAAAATGATGACAATATACATAATAGCAAATAACAAAAAAGTAGTATGATGGGTGTAAAGACGAATAATATCTCCCTAGAATAACGATCGTAGGTGGAAAAATGACCCTTTTGCCTGTAGAAAAAGTGGCATTAGCTTTAAATTCTCCATGCCCTACTTGAAGAAAATTGACCCCCATAGAATAATTTCCCCTTGTAGATTTTATTACAGATGTATTTTTCTTTCTGGTTAAAAAATCAATGGGCCCATGGGCCAAAATGCTCACCTGAGGAAAACTGAGGATACAGTAATGATAAGATATCTCATTAAATCTTTTGAATGAAATGTCTTTTATGATGAATTAATTTATCAATCGACTTCAATCTGAATTATGTGGAAATCTGACAAGTGTATCATTGTTTTAAAAAAAGATTTCTCTTTTATAAATTCCAGAGAGAGAGAGAGAATTCTTCACAATGTCCTCCGTTCTTAACTTGTATTTAAAAATTTTTTTTAATCAATGATTTTAACAGTGTACTTACGAAGGCTGTTTGAAAAGTTCGCGGACCATGTAATTCTTTGTTATACATGTACTATTTTCAAAAAATTAAAAATTATATCATTATCATGTGTAAAAAATATTTATTTTGTTGATGTGTGAAATTTCATTCCATGTGATATAATAGGAAATATTATACCTAAGGGCATACGCAACGTACTTTTAACCTTTTTTCCCCTTCTTTCTTATATAATTTAACATTTCCAAGAACTGAAGGAATTTTGTTCAATTTATTGTGCCTAATAACACTATACGCAACCTTTGAAACACATTTTGAGGAAACAAGCTAAAAATATGTATTGGTTATGCTATACACCTCCTCTGTATCAAACTTTGAGGAAATATCAGCTAAAACTATATTTTGGTTAATTTTTCTTTAAAAATCGAAGGATTTACATCATTTGATATCTGTTCAAAAATCCTGGTACATGTACTTTACGCCGATTTTTCAGAACATCTGATTGTACTATAACTTTAAATTAAGAATATCTTGGAAAATTATATATGGGAAAGATAAATTGTAAAGAACATGTACATGCACATTGCGTATGACCTTAACTTTAAAATCAACATGTTTCGTAACCAAGGAGCACCTGTAACAACAGAGTAAAGTCAAAAGCATAGCACTGTTCCAGTAGAATAATTTCGTTTGTCATTTTTTTTTTCACCAAGTTACTGTGTTTTCCCAAGATCAGCAATTGTGAAATGCTTAACACTTTACGTGAATGACGATACTAACTTTGAAAAGTTTTTGATCAGATCCCCCCACCTTTTTAAATTTTCCTTTAAGTAGAAGCTGGTTGTCCCTCCCCAAACCTTTTGTAGCTGTAAGGTCGAGCACTTGCAAATTCCAGTTACTTCCCCCCTCCAACATTTGAAACCGTTGCTACGGGCCTGTTCTCTATCACATCAATATCAATACTACCTATGTCCATTACACACAAATGCATGAATCAGTTTTGACATGTTTCCTGCTTTCTCCAGCATTTTATGAGTTTATCTTTTTAGTTCTGCAACACAAAATTGTATCGTTGGTTGCTGCTCAGCGACTGTTTTTTTTTTCTTTTTCAATGGGGACTTACTTAATTCTGAAATTAATTTCTTTTCAACGAAACAAAATATTGTCATTTTTTTTGGAATATTAAATGAAATGTAACAATTCCAAATTTGAATGTTTAGGATTTTTGTCGTTTTTTGTGCCCTTTTAAAGAGATATGACTACCGACATTTTCAGTGTATTATTCATATATTACTAAATACTTACTTGCTCTGCTATCCCATTTTCTCAGTTTTAAATTTTTAATAAATTTAAAAATATATCATGATATTTTTAGAATTTTTAATACACATCATTCGAATTTAATTTGTTAAAACATTTCTACCAAATTTGTATATAATAAGACGTTAGGTAAAAAAGGTATAACAGAAGTCCGCGAACTTTCCGAACAATCCTCGTACATGTACATGTAACTTTCTGACATATAGCAAATGTATCTTTAAAATGGAGAATAAAGAGTCACACATTGTTTTAGAGGCTTTTGGTACACTTTCGTAAAAACCAAAAGAACATGCATTAACTAACTTTCCAGTAGTATATATGGCAAATAATCGGAAATACCGGAAAAAAAAACACCAGAAAGGAAACTTGTTCAGCTTAACTTACACAATTTTCCAGAATCAGTAAGACAGTCAGTAATGTCCGATAAGGCGTCCACTAAAAAACAGAAGCGAACAAACAGTTCAGACATGGATTCCCCCTTGGGTACCCCCACAGGTGTGCCAGGAATTTCAAGTGATCTAAAGATAATTCAGGAAAGCTTGACTCAAATTCATGAGGACATGGGTAAAAAAAAAACAGAAATGAAAGAAATGATATCTTCAATACTGGAAGATCTGAAGAAGGAAATTAAACAAGAAATTTTGGCAGACGTAAAATCCACAATTTTAATAGAGTTTAGAGAAAACATTACTAAAGAAATTAAAAATGCAGTTAAAGAAGAATTCGAACATAAGATTGAAGAAAAAACAATGGAATACAAAACCAACGTCAAAGAAATTTCAGGCGGCTTCAACCTTGACTTTGAGACTTTACGGGAAAAAATTAGTGACCAAGCACGGGAGTTAAGGGACATGAGAGAAAGTTTAAAACGAAGTCAATTTATGGCAGAGAGTGCTTTAACTCTAGCGAATCAGAATCAACAATACTCTCAGAAAAACAACATAAAATTTATTAAATGGGAAGAGAAGCAGAACGAAAATCTTCGAGATGATTTATGCAAAATACTCAAAGACACTGTAAATATTGAGTTGGCACCAACTGATATTTTGGCGGTACATAGAGTTCCAAGTGGAGTTCGGGAGGGCCCTAGACCAGTAATCGCTAAATTCCGCGACACGGAGACAAAAATCAGGGTAATCAAGAAGTGGTCACAGGAAGAACTGAAGAAACGATTTATTATGTATGACCATATAACAGCGATGAACTCAAAGTTAATACGCGACCTGAATGAAGATCCATTGATACATTCGGCATGGTATTTTAACGGCAAAGTGTTCGCCCTTGATAATGACGGCAATAGACATAAATTTGATATTTTGGACAATGTGAGTGCAAAACTTAGACATCGGTAATAAAGTTGAAATGCGGAGCAAACACTCTTTTATTGTGCTCGTGCTTTTGGCATTGGGATCGGGACTCACGGTTCGGGATCAATGTTATGTGTGACTTTGTTTACATGAAATATATGGAGATAACGAACAGTATTCAAGCTCAAAAGTCCATTATACAATACAAAATAGGAGCAGAGCAAACACGGACCTCCAAACATCAGAGGTGGGATCAGGTGCCATGGAGGAGTGAGCATCCCCTGCCGACCGGTCACACCTGCCGTGTGCTCCTTGTCATGATCTGGAAATAACGGAAAAATCCGTCGACAATTCAGTGTGTAAATAATGGCTTAACAATTTGTATGAAAAACGTCAGTCAGCATTTGACTCAATGATGAATTGTATTTGCTGACAAGGTCATTGTATCGACCATAGTACTTACAAAATGATTACTTTAAACGAGACAGCTGATATTCTTGTTTCATCAACTTATTTGTCAATAATTTACCTCGTTTTAGAAATTGTGCATACGTAGAGCATGCTCTTGCGTATCGAATCAACTGAGAGATATATACCCCGTATGCAGGTGATGAAGGTATATTGCTGCATAAGTAAGGGAAGTTGACGATTGAAAAGTTAAAGTCATCACGTTTATCATAAAGCTTGGTTGTTAGATTACCATTAACGTCTTTTTCAAGTAAAATATCCAAATATGAAACAGATGTGTCAGACTCTGTGGTATCTTTTATCTCAAGTTCACCAGGATATATCGTATCAACATAAGAATGAAAATAGCCATTGTTAATTGACAATACGTCGTCGATATATCTAAATGTCGAGTTGAACGCCACAGCAAGTGTTTTCTTCTTTTCACGTATAAGATTTTGGACAAATTCTGCTTCATACGAATACAAAAAAAGGTCTGCTAATAATGGGGCACAATTGGTACCCATGGAAATTCCAATAGATTGTTGGAAGACCTGGTCTCCAAAAACCACATAGATATTGTCAATCAGAAACTCAAGCATCTTTTTAATGTCAACTTCAGAGTACTTGTGTGTACAATCAGAATGTTTTTTAACAAAATAATTTTGCAAATGACCAATGACAAGGTAAGTATATTTACGAATTCCATTTTTATTGAAAAAGCAGCTGTCAATTATATCAAAAAGCCTGGACTTTAATTTATCGTGGGGAATGGTTGTGTATAAAGTTGAAAAGTCGTAAGTTTTTAAGCTGTTGATTTTGATAATATCTTGTGATTTCAAATTTTCCAAAAGTTCCTTGGAATTTTTAAGTATCCACATCTGATTTACACCACTTCTCGAATATATTGTTGCACAGTACTCTTGAAGTTTCTCCTTCACCACTGTTAATATCTTAGTGAGGAGTAAAGATAGAGGCTTGGTTGAACATTTACTGGAACCCGCTATGTATCTTTGTTTGTAAGGATTCTTATGAAGTTTCGGAATCCAATATAAATATGGTAATTCGAATTCATTGTGGTTGTTTGGAATATTAAAAATATTCAAAACTGACATATGATTTTGAAGAATTTCTTCCTTAGAAAGGGAACTATGAGTATAAGTTGGATTACCACTTGTAGAATTAAATCCAAGTTCCTCTAAAATACATTTAATATAATGAGCCTTACAAACAAAGACAATGTTGTTACCTGCTTTATCAGCAGGGACCAGTACGTACTGATCATGTAATCTATCTAATTCTTTTTTCACTTCTGGATTACTGAATACAGAAGGATAGATGGTTTTCATATTGCCTCTCAATCTTTTCATGCGCGATTTTAACATACATCAGATACATTTAATCCATTCTGACAAAGTGTCAAGGTCTTCTTTTTCATGTCTGGCCCATCGCCTGGCGTAGTCCTCTACCGAATCTATAATATTTATGAAATTCTTACGCCAGTTGAAGGATCTGGGTTCCCTAAATTTAGGACCTTTTAAAATTAGTGATCTAAGGTCCTCATTATTAACTATATTTACGTCACCAGTAATAACTTGTCCAGCAGGACTATAGTTATAGGGCGAAGAAGAACATGAACACGATGGAGGATTATGTTTCAGATATTTGATATCCAGGCCCTGTAAAGTTTTCTTGTAATTAAATAGTTTGGAAGCAATAGTCGATGTATATTTGTAGGAAATACAAGGTGTAGTCTTTAACTTGAAATATGGTGGAATACAGGACTGGACCCTTTTGTGATAAGAATATTACTTATATTAACCGCGTCAATTCCTTTGTTGGCATATTGAAGTTTAAGGAAAAAACGGATCGATTTAGCTGCATTTTCTTCAGTAAAAGGCGGGGGTTTAAAAAGCCTATGATTGGCAATATCCATAACTACAGATCCGAGCCTATATTCTGGTGTCGAGCAATCAAAAAATGGACTTTCCTTGACCTTTTCAAGAAGACTATTTAAAAGTTTCAAAGGGACAGAGTAAAATTTGGTGCGAATATGATGTAGACCTAACTGTTGATTTACGTAAGGTAGTAATGAATCAAAAGAGACATCGTTTATTAAAGTTTTTTTGTAAGACCGATGCCCATGACTACGCTTACGTCTCTGTGTAAGGTTAAAAAGTCCCATCACATTTACATTGCTACACTGTGGACTGGAAAGATTTCCAACACTATCGACATTGTCATTACATCCATAGGGAAAGGCTGTCCCTAGCTTTCTTATCCAAAATTCTTCTCGTTGTCTACGGAAAGGTGTACTTAGTGTTGGACTGTTTGTGTGGTGGTAAATCTTTTCCAGAATTCTAACTTTCATTGACAAAATAGAATGATCAGGTAAATTAAAATGTTTGTATAAAAGTTGCTGACCCCCATTATTTATCTGAAATCTATGACCTGATGTTATTTTATTGAGTGATCCCTTGGTTTCACCAACATAAACAATGCAAGTCCACAAAGATAACATTCTATTAGACAACGTTAGAAGATTTGCAGTTCAGATTTTCCCAAGTTTTGGTACAGAAGCTCTGTCCAGTAAGATTACTGGTGAAAGAAGTGTTAGTTATCAAAATGTCACAGGTTTTACAGTTTTTCGCAGAACATTTTGAAATAGAAGACATGGGATCGGAAAAGGAGTCTTCGAATATATCTCTAAAAGAAACTTTACATTCTTTCAATTGTTTGTATGAACTATTGGTTTTATACCAAAACTGGGAATCTGAAGACTGTACATATGACATATGTCTAATATCCCTGAGGATTATCCGAGGGGCACCGAATAAACTCCTTGAGTCTGTGTCCCTTATAGACTCAAAAGAGTGACGCCTTTTTATACTGGGCGACGCGTCTGCCAGTATCATTTCGTTTTTCTGTGTACTCATGAATGAATAGGTACCGAA